TAGAAAAAATAAGCAAAAAACCCCATCTCTTCTCATGTTTATATTTATGCCATTTAATCTTTGGCCAGAAACTTAATGGGGTGCATTTTCAAATACCAGAACATGGGAATACCCACAAAAACATGCAGGTATGCTTATGCACTTTTTTTTTTAAACTTGTATCAGAATTCTTACAAGTTTATGCATGTTAGGCCTGCGAGATGAAATAAACTTTCTTGCGGAAAGCCTAGCACAAACTCAGTATTTAGACCTTGTTAAAGCTCTAGTTTGAGAGGTTAAATAGTATTAAATGTTGCAGGAGCCTCATGCCACATCTCTGGAAGGAGAGTGAGTAGAGTTCATTCACTGTGAGGTAATACTTGTGTTAATAGTTAGAGGTAGGATGACCAGGAATCCATACCTGGAAAACCTGTGATCTTGATGATTTCAGTGCCCTCTCTGGCATCTTGTGAAAAATCTCACATGACAGCTTTGAAGGCAGCTGGATCCCTTGCTGGTCAGCTGCTCCTACCAGAAAATTCTTCTCCAGATATTCTCTGGATGGCAGAAATCCCCAACAAAACACTCACCAGAAGGGAAAGAGCAGTGGTGCTGTGAAAACAGCCTGGGGAGTGTCCCCATATCAGATAAGCCCATCAAAAACACTGCTAGTTCAGTAACATCAAACTATTAAAATGTCACAACATGGAGCTCAGTGAGCTGTTTTGTTCATTTCTGGGATAGGATTCGAAGCCTAAATTGCACTCCATGCTGCTGGGGGAAGATTGCCACCAGTGCTCTGGGGAGTGAGCTGGAAGGTGCATCCATGAAGCAGAAACATGTACTGAGTGACATCCTTTGGAGTTGATCAGTCAGGAAAACATAAATAAATAAGTCTTTGTACAAGGGACAGCACCTTTATGAAAGGCATCTGCTGTGCAGCTTAGGCAAAAATGCCATGAAGGTGAGGGCAGCACCTCCCCGTGTGCCCCACAGGGTCTATAGGTAACTTTGGAAAATACCTGCACTTGGGCAGGGCTGTACTGGCCGGTGACAGTGACCTCCTTGCTTCAAGTGTACAGATGCTGCAAGATCAATGTCCCCCAGGGAATGTGATTTTTTAGAGATGTTTCTCAAGCCATGCTTGAAATACCTGGTGTTAGTAGGCAGCCCGTGAGGAAACTCTGAGAACAAGATGTTGGCTAGCCAGGGAGTTCACTCTGCTGATACAAGACTATGCCTTAGGACATATTTGAGATAGAAGTGGCCTGGGCATAGCATAAAGCCCTTCTCAGTGCCCTCTTCCCTAACAGCTTGCAATGTTGAGCTCTGCAGGAGCCTCCCACCCACCACGTCCCAAACAGTAATTTCAGGCTGTCTGGCTTAGGAGACTGGTAGGTTTTGAAATGATGCCAGGATATGATTAATAAATTTCCAGGTACTTACAGGAAGGGCAAGGAAAGCAGTGCTGGGAACAGCTGTGGAGGAGATTGCCAAAAACGTGAGGTGACCTCCATCTTGTCTGTGGTTGGGTGTCCCTCCAAACAGCAGAGAGATATTTGCAAAAACCCAACAAGACTGTACCCCACAGATCCAATTCCCTATATGGATTCTCCTTTTCTGTGTAAGTGAGAACCGCTATCTTGTCCTCCTCAGCCCAAGTGCCATTACTGATCAGTCCAGAGAAGTGACAAACCTCCTGGCAGCAGGAGTCAGTGTGCTGAGGCCTCTAGGATGAGCTGTGGAGGAAGAGGTGATGGCTGGTTTCACCTTTGTTTCAGTCACTGGAGAAGAAAGACATTCTGCCCCCACTCTCCTGGGGACCAGACAGAGAGTTCACAGAGAGTCTATGAGCAGGGCTGCTGCCGAGGTGAATCTTCAAAGGTTCATCTTTTTTTCATTTTCTTCAACTGCCAGAAGTCACAAGCATGTGGTTCATGAGACAAGATGTCCATGTGCCACTGGAAGACTTTGCTCCTTCCCCTGTCAGCGCCTGCCCAGCCCTCTTACGCTCTCTCTTGTCTTCTTTCAATGACTTGGTTTACAATGCTCCCATAGAAAGTCTTGTTGCATTCAGGGAATTGAATGGGCAAAAAAGCTAGAGAAAATTATTCACTGTTTTGCCCCTATTGGGTTAGTTTCCTGGCCACTGTTTTCTGCATCAGCTTCCTGTAGGCTGACAGGAGCAAGGGGGGCAGTCTGAGCACCTTGGCCCTGGAGGTGGCCCTTTGCAATCTCATCGCCGTCACTGCAGAGGGACAGCACAGCCTCTGTCACCCTTGGGGAGAACATCTCAAGGCAGAGCATCTCACAGTTCCTCCAGGGTGAGGGAAAGCACTACAGCTTGCCGAGGCAGGGGCACCCCAAACCTGTGTGAAGGAGTGAAGAGAGAAGTGCTCTCCGCAGGTACCCATGGCAGACATTTTTTCATTGCTACTTATTATGGAGAGTCAAGAAATGGACTGTTCCCAGGGTTTTTTTGACCATGAAGGCCTTCTCACTCAGCAGTAACCTAATCCCCACATAGGCAGGGGTCTCCTGTATATTGATGTGCAGTCTGGTGCCATTCTTTGCATTAGCTTTGTTAACTTGCTCAACAGCTTGCCACGGACTCTGAAAACAACAAGCATAAAAAACCATGCCAATGGACATGTAAAATGAATGGAATAAAAATGGAGCAAGGTAAATTTTGTTTCTGAAATTTAAGGAGGCATCAGATGTTGATCAAGATAACTTTAGTCTTTGACTGTGCTAGACAGCTTAATGTCCCCACTCATATATTAGCAAAACCTTTCTGTGTATAATGTCCTTTGTACTTGTAGTGACACATTGAAAGAAGCCCTCATTCTCAATTTAATGGAGACACATCTCACAGTGATTTTATATATTTCATAGTTAACAAAAAAAAACACCTCTCTCCCAGGGACAAAGACCTCCCAGCTTATGGAAAGGCAGCATCAGTTTTTCCTTGGTTGCAGAGCTCATTTTTTTCCCTGTAATTGGATATTAACCTCTGACTGATATCAGAAGCGACACTCTGGCACTATCCCGTTGTGTTGATAGTTGAGGCTTCTGACTTCAGGTTTCAGTTTCCCAGGGAAGGACCATGCCGAGGTATTTCCTCTTTCCTCAGAGGTGTGAGGAGCAGGATCAGGAGTGTGCCTGGCTGTGTCAGGTGTCCCGCTTCAGTGTGCTTCCTGGTACCACAGGGACACAGCTGCACAGTTAAAAGATCCAGATAACTGGGTGTGTTTGAAGTGAGATTTGTTCACCTGGGTTCAAAAGCTCACTGCACAAGAATGGTTACTTTGTGAAGAGTTGTACCCCATGATAGAAATAAACAATTCCAGGCTCTTTTTAAATAATAAATAATCTTAAATATGTAGAACCCTAAATGCATCTGCAGCTGCTTTCCAGGCCACATTTAACTGAAGAGAACTACCTTCCTCACATCCACATTAGATCCAAAGAAGTTCACTGCTTGGACTAAGGTCAAACACAAGTTCTTAGGCACATCCATAACTTGAACATGCTGCGTATTGCTTAATGGGTAGAGCTACACGTGCATGAGTGATGGGCCACATGTGTGCCACTGTGAACTTTTTTGAATTAGAATTTGAAGTGTTGGCTTACTGAAATAAAATAATTGAATTAGAAGGCCTATTTTGTACAATGAACTTTATTCTAACAGGACTGTGTTTCCATTCCAGCACAGAGACGTGCCATGGCCCAGGAGGCTTTGAATCAGAGACATTACAGTGTGTGTACATTAAAGTCTGTAATTCAAAGGATTAATCTCTTCCCTATTCTCCTTGCCTGTGTCTGAAGGAGGAGGTGAAATCTCTGTCCAGATATGACATCTGCAACTGCATGGGATGAAAGGACACCTTGCTGTGGAAAGCTCACTATACTGAGTGCTTTACAGGCAAGCAGACATAAACTCCGCTCATGAAAACCCACTGCTACTTGATTCAATAAGAAAACGTCACTGAGAGTAGAAAGGTGAGAATGAATAATGCAATTGCCTAGGTGCAAATTCAGCAGGCTAGTAAGGGCCAGAGACTCTGGTCCGCTGAGACCATGTTACATTGTAGATGCAGTAAGTAGTGCCCTTGGACACTTCTTAGGTTTGTTTAAATTACATTTTGACAAGCTTTTGTTCATGGATTTTCATCAGGAAACTACAGGTCTCTTTCCATAGGGAATCAATAATCCTGGCACCTGGATTCTCAAGCCAGCTAGCAGGGATGCCTGGGTGAGGTAGTGTGACTGGTCCAGCACCCCAGCAGAAAAGGCAGCCTGAGTTATTCACTGTCCTCTTGAACTAGAAATGCTGTAATAGTCATGACAAATAACCATGTACCTGGTCAGAGGTCTAAATGCAGGTGTTTAAAGCAGGGAAAGGATAAGATTAGGAAAGCTCCTGTATCTGTGAAAGGAGTCTTTGTTCATGAAATATTGTGCTAGTGGACTTTTCTAGCCAAGAAGTAAGTGACCTGGAAACACAGCAGGATAAGAGGGAGAATGGGGAAAAAATGGGTGAGAAAGGTGACTTCTCAGCATCTTGATTGCTGCCCACGTACAATGTAAATCTGCTGAATCTGGGTAGTCCTGAACCTGGCTGGCAAAGGGGCTGCAGCACTCCTGCATAGGACAATTCCTCAAACCACTGGCTTCATTCCTCTTGTGTGAATACCCTGTTGAATTTATTTAAGTGAGTCAGCTGCAGGACTCTTGGCAGGGTGGGAGCCTCCATGCCAGCACAGGATAGTGAATGGAAGTGAGAATGTGGCTCATCTTCCTTTTTTGCTTCTGTTCCTCTTCCTAGCACTACCCACCACAGAGTGCCACTGTTTCCCTGCTCTTACTTGGGTGCTAGTTGGTCACTGTGGTACACACAAACCTTTTCTAGGAGGAGAAGGCCCCCTCCTCCTGTGGAGAGAGGGTTACCAAACTCAATGATGTCACAGACACCAAGTGCCAGGGCCACCTAAAGGCTAGGAGCCAGCTGAGGAGGTATAGGCACAGCAGTGGGAAACAAAACTTCCTGCTTGCGGTGGTGGGAGCACAAAGGGCCTCCACTTTTTGGTATTGAGGTGGGTGAACAGGTGAGTGCTACTCTACCAAGCTCCTCAAGTCCTGGCTTGTTGGTGGCCCCCACCTGGAAAAACCCTTAACCTGGTGGGAACTGTCTCAGGTGCCCATGCAGGCTGTCCACTCCTGCCCCATGGAGGGCTGAGTAGGTCATATCAAGTGATTGGAAATTTGATGCTTGGCTCAAGAGGGTCTCATGGTTCATTGGAAACTAAGCTAATTAGGCCCTGAAGACAGCAGTTCAGAAATATCCTGTCTGGCTATGGGTGGCATGGCAGGAGACCAGGACCAGGAAAGCTCACCTCTCCCCTTCTGCACTTGGGCAGCTTCACACCTAGCGCACACCATGAGGTGTGTATTACCTGGCCCAAACCCAACCCTGCCTTATCTGCCAAGGGTGATGAAGGAAGGATTTCCTAAATGCTTTTTCCCGAGTTATTTTGGTTCTACCAAAAGGCCTGCTGCTTTATGCTCAATTACAGAATCACACGGAATCAACCAGGTTGGAAAAGACCTTCAAGATCATTGAGTCCAACCCAACACCACCCTGTCAACTAGAGCATAGCACTGAGTGCCACATCCAGTCTCTTCTTAAATACCTCCAGGGACAGTGACCCCAACCACCTCCTGGGCAGCACATTCCAATGTCTGATCACTCTATAAAGAATTTCTAATGTCTAACCTAAAGCTCCCTGGCACAGCTTAAGACTGTGCCCTTTTGTCCTACTGCTGGTTGCCTAGGAGAAGAGACCAACCCTCACCCGGCTACAACCTCCTTTCAGGGAGTTGTAGAGAGTGATAAGGTCTCCCCTGACCCTCCTGCTCTCCAGGATAAACAGCCCCAGCTCCCTCAGCCTCTCCTCATAGGGCCTGTGCTCAAGTTCCTTCATCAGCCTCGTTGCCTTTCTTTGGACACTCTCCAGCACCTCAATATCCTTCCTAAATTGAGGAGTCCAGAACTGGACACAGTACTCCAGGTGTGGCCTCACCAGTGCTGAGTACAGGTCCTGGTCCTGCTGGCCACACTGTTCCTGATCCAGGCCAGGATGCCATTGGCCTTCTTGGCCACCTGGGCACACTGCTGGCTCATGTTCAGCTTCCTGTCAATCCAAACTCCCAGGTCCCTTTCTGCCTGGCTACTCTCCAGCCACTCTGTCCCCAGCCTGTAGCGCTGCCTGGGGTTGTTATGGCCAAAGTGCAGGACCCGGCACTTGACCTTGTTGAATCTCATCCCACTGGAATCAGCCCAACTCTCCAGCCTGTCCAGGTCCCTCTGAAGAGCCCTCCTTCCCTCCAGCAGATTGACACTCCCTCCCAACTTGGTGTCGTCTTCAAATTTGCTGATGGTGGACTCAATCTCTTCATCCAGATCATCAATAAACATATTAAACAGGACTGGGCCCAACACTGATCCCTGGGTGACACTGCTAGTGACCGGCCACCAACAGGATGCAGCCCCGTTCACCACCACTCTCTGGGCCTGGCAAATGGCCCTGGCAACCCCCCTTGCACACCAGGTTGGCTCCCAAGAGTAACCAAGCCCAGGCTACCGGGCTACTGTCATTTGTTCCTCTGGATTATTACCTGAAGCAGGTCCACCCTGCACATACTGGGCACTGTTTGGGTTAAGCCCAGGTGCTCAGCCAAGCCAGCTCTGGTAGCAAGGGCAGAGTCTGAAGGGTCACAGCCTCTTCCTTCATGTCACCAGCAGGGACACAAAGTGAGACAGGCCCTGGTCTTTGCTTCAATTCTGTCCCACCTTTCAGCAATGCTTCAGAGCCCAAAGTATATGAAAGGGGCGTTTCCAGAGACAGGGAACACCAGGCATTTCAAAATTTCTGATAAATTGGTACTCACAGTGGAAAAAATGAATACCACATTTGTATCCAGACATCAAAGCAATGGAACCACCACAGTAGTCTCTTATTACACAGTCATCAGCCCAATGCTATAATTGGTATTATATATATTATATAAACCATTACACATATATTATATATTTATTTTCCTCTTAACAGTAGTTTCTGATTTTTCCTTCTCTGGATGAGGCAGGCTGTTGCTCTTACTATCCTTGTGATTTCTAACTTGGCTTCTGCAATGAAATAAAAAACCAGTCCTCACTTTACAAACACGCGGTCATGTTTCTTAAATGAAACAGTGTGATGCACAGAGTACCAAGGCTGTAATTCAAGTTGCTCATCACAAACTGCCAAAGTCATTTTTCTTTCAGGATATTGCCTTTCACTGAATCTGAAGATTGACTTACAATTTGTTGGACCAAGCAGGATATTTGTTACTCTTAGGAAGAGTGATTAGCAAACACTGGCAAGGCATTCTCCTAAACAATATGACACTATTACTCACTGCTGAATTTAAATGAAAAGATAAATATTTCACACAACAAGCTTAGCTGCACATGGCTTTTGCCTCTATTGTTTATTACATATTTCTAAAGAAGCATGATTTTGGTGTTTTGTGAGCTATAATTTAAAACCAATAAATCAAAGAGCTTTATTAAAGGATCTTCTTATCCTACTCAGAGCACCATAGCAAGATGTTAAATTAGAAGTGGAGAAGAAAACTTTTAAAACAGCTATGTTTTAAAGTTAAATTAAGTAGTATGTTTGCAGAAATTGTTACCTTCAACTGAGGCTATACTTGCTTTGTCATTTAAAAAATAAAATTAAAAAATTGAAAGTGCTATACTTTTAAAGGGGTTTTACACTGCCTTGGCTACTTCCAGTTGACCCTGGTGGCTTTGGCTATTGCTGTCCTGGCCCTAGGTAGCAGCTGACTGGAAAGACCTGTGCTACAATGCTCAAAATAGTCATGCCTGCAGCAGTGCTATGGTGCTATGTGTTTTGTTGCCAAGAACTAAGGCAATGAATAACTAGTCTGAATTCTCCCATCAGTTGAGCAGCAGAGAAATGTTCTTCTAGTCAGACAACACACAAACACTCTTTCTACAGAAGAAGAGTGGCATGTGCATGAAGAGTGCTCTTAGACAAATGTTCTTGCTTGTACAGGTGCACTACAACACGGGACCAGTTCGATAAGAGCCCTTAGAAGAGAGCCCTTAGCAATCTGGTGTTCAAGAGGAGGGCTTAAAATGATGGAATAGCTTGAATGTGCATGGGGAAGATGACAAGAGTTGGTGGAGGCAACCTTATCCTCATTAGCAACATCTTAAATCACTGAGTGAATGTCCTTTCTCATGTTTCCTGCAGTTGCTGCAGATAATTCTGAGTCTATAAAACTTCGCTGGATATAGCTCTGTTTGCAGGATCTCATTCCAGTTTTGAGGAGTAAGTACATTCTTGTCTGGTCTTTCAGAGTGATGCAGTTTGGAAAAACAACATACCAAAGCAGTTTTCTTCCATGTGGTCGTCCATCAGCATAGATGTCTGCACTATCTGTGCCCACCAAGTGAGTGACACACACACACCTTTCAGTTTAGAAATATTTAGAAATGTTGTGGAGATGGGAGTAGAGTATCCGTCTATGTATGCTATTTGTTCTCTTTAAATGAGCATTTGCCCTTTAATCTTTGCTAAGAAGCACAGTTTAATTCAGAGGACACTCCACTGTGAAACTTTTTGGCTCATAAGGGGCTGTAGCAACTTCTTACCATGTAAGTCTCAGTCTAGCAAGGTACCATGGGATACAGTAAGGTGTCAAGAAATCCCACTTCATGCTCAAACATATTTGCAGTTGTCATTCAAAGATGTGTTTACATATATTTTTCAGTTTAATCTGATTTGGTTTAACAGGATTTGGAGTGTCCCCAATGATTGTGCCACAGCTGTGTGATCACGTGACTTGATGCTTCAACCAGAGGTCGCACAAAACCAAATCACGCAAACCTGCTTTCACCCTTGCACCCAGCACCTGCAATCCTCTGTTCATCACATATCTCAGTAAAATGAAGACTCCAACTCTTTGCTGATCTTGAAAAGCAGGTTAGACAAACATCTGCCAGAAATGGTTCAGGTGTAGTTGCTCATACCTTGGGCTGGAAGAATGACTTTCTACAAGCAATTGCAACACAATTTTCTGAGACCTCTAGGAAATTAACATGATGGTTAGACTATTAGAGGGGTGACAAGCACAGCTACTAGCTAGTAGCCAAAATTATAACAAATCATATTAATTATTCAGATTTTTCTGTAGCTGTTAAACCTTTCTAAGTTTACCTAGGTATCACCTTCAGCAAGAGAAGACTGGGGGAAAGAGAATGTTTTCCTGTTGAGAAGAGAATCCTTTTTTAACTTACTGATTGAGAGGACATGCTTTCCATCCTATATTGTTTGTTATTTGTCCCAAGGGTTGATCACAAATGGCAATCGTAAGCCCCTTGGGCAGCTAAGTTCAAAATGTTTATGCTGTGAACTCCCACACTAAGCTGCTGCTTGCCTCTGGCTAAATCTCCCCTGTAGCTGCATTTCCATGGTAAAATCTCCATCTCATCAGCTGCTGGCCATAGTTACAATTAGTCAAATCCAAATGCTTTTGTCTGAGCACAAGGCCTGCTGGATTTCCCAAACAAACACTTTCCCATCTATTTCCCTTTGCAAGGCAAAGACCTAATTTTAAGTCTAACCCTTGCTTCACATCATACTTTGTTTCTGAATGCCTAGTTGAACACATCTGTGACATCTTTCTCTAGGTAATGTATGCTCAAACCTCTTTCACACCAGGGGTGCAGTTACAACAAGAGGGACTGTGAAAAAATGACTTAAAAATAACCATCAGCCTGTAAGCTACACTGCCATTTTAGGAAGCAAGAAAAGAGTGCAACAGAGACAGTTGCACCTATAAATCATCTAGCTGTGGATAAAAAGGGGCCTTCAGTGTCCCAAATCTTGTTATTTTTCCAGCAAAATAGGTTTATTTTGGAGACTCAGGCTTATATCTTATCTTAAAATTTAGTGTCTTGGGTCCTTCTTTAATCACAGAGGTCTGATTGATACAGTCAAAGGAGCCTGGGGGATGATTCATATGCCCTACCAGCACAGATGGGCTTCCTTTAATGTTGGCTCTTCCTGCCATTTGATACTCCAGGACAGATGAGACATCTGCACAGGGCTTGCAGATATGATGTAAGACAAAGGAAGTTCATGCCCTTTTGGTGAAGCAACTGGATGCCAACCAGGATACTCCACAACACCTAAAATAGCATTAGACACTTGCTTTTAGGCAACTGAATCCTGGTTTTAGAAAGATTAATTATTTCTAGGTTCATTGATTATACAGAATATATTTCCATGGACTTGAATGAATTCCCACATTCATGCCTGAATTTAGATGTTCTTACCTGGTATTGAATGTCCTCTCCCAGCAGGATTAAGTGACTGTCTAGTACAATCTCAGGTACCCCACCTGGACTCCAGCTGCTGCTGCAGGAGGCTGAGGGTCCCCCAGCAGTGCCATGTCTTCTCTGTCAGCCCCAAGCAATTATTCCAGACATGCTGAGGTGTCTCAGAGGGCTTTAGGCATCTGTACTCAAGCCATCTGTGTCTTGAAGAGGGCTGGGAGAATGCTGTCAGTATGGTCAGTGCCAGGAGCACTCTGATGTTTCGGGAAGGGGAGAACCAAAGTCTGCACTGATATTATTCACAAGACTTTTGTCACGTATGCTGGCTGGAGTCGTTCACCACTGGCTCACATGGGCAGCATTCATTCACTCCATGCTTATTTTGCACTACATTCTGTTTTCCAGCTCAAAAAGCATATTGGAGACTGATGCTGAGATTTCCATTTTTTATCTGATCTGGTGGTCCTGTCAAAGTGATATGAGCTGTGCCCTCTGATACTAACAGGACTTTCAGAGATTCCCAGCACTTTCTTATTAGTTAGAGCTGTGCCGTCTTTGTATTTTTTTCTACCAACCCAGTCCTCAAGAGAGATTTGTAAATTTTATTTCAATATTCAGTGGTTTGAAATTCGTTTTTTGGCATCAGCATAGACTTTGCAGAGCAGCACAATGTGCAGTGGAAGTCTGAGTAATTCAGATAAAATTCATCCTTGGAGTACACAGGCTTTACCTGACAGTCTTTTTTTTTTGGGTGAGAACAAACTTTAACCTTTGTGCACAGTAAGAAATGGTAGAGATAACACACAGCAGGAGAAATCCTGACCTGTAGTGGAGCTGTGATAGGAGGGATTAAACTAAAGAAATTAATGGGGAGCCACCCCAGGCTAAGGAGGAGAGAGTGAAGGTCTTGACAAATTTAATGCTTTACGGTGCCTTCTCTGACTTTGCAAGGAGATCCACTCGATGAATGTACAGAATTGTCTCTGTATACTCCTGCTGGTGAGCACGTCCTTCCATTGTGAGACAGCAATTTGCATAGTTCTGTTCTCTTATTTTACCTCAGTGAGCAGGTGTAAGGATAATAAACTCCCTTACAATAAACTGGTAATACCACTTTGCTGTTTCATGCCAGGTGAGGAGCAGCAGGAATAAATGAAACCTCAGTGCCAAGGTGATGAAATGTTTCCATTGTCAGTTTGACACAAGCACGTGAGTGGTCAGAGCACGGTGCTAATAACATAATGCCAAGGTTTCAGGTTCAATTCCCGTATCAGCCATTTACCTAGGAGTTGGACTTGATGATCCTCGTGGGTCTCTTCCAACTCAGAATATTCTGTGATTCTGTGAACAAGAGAGCAAAGATGACACCCAAATTGAAAAGGGTTTGGGTAAACTTGTTATTTGAGAGTACATCACTGTGTGCTCACACCTGTGTGACATTACAGGGTCTGGTCAGCAAGGACTGAAAAAAAATGTCAGAAGTGCCTTTGCAATAGATACCTCTGCAAGCACACAGCAGGAAGACCAACAGCTGGGAGAGAAGTACATCCATCACCAACGGGCAGGCACTCCACGCTGCTCACTGCCTCTCAAAACCTGCAGATGCAGCAGGGAGCTGTGGCTTCCATCAGCGGAGGAGCTTTACTTATGGGGACATGCAGGGTCCAGCACTGATCATGTTCAAATCCAAGTGATAACTCAGCGATGGCCCAAGCACCCACCTACAAACACTGCACTCTGCATGGGAACAACAGGAGACTGTGGTCAGAGGGAACAGCTGCCTTAACTCACACAGATGCTGGATATACACACAGCAATTAATACTATAGAAATAATGTATTTAAAAGCCGGTGTGACACAGTTATGCAAGTTACAATGATCTCTTTTGCAAAAGGTTGAGTCATGCTAATTACAACAACAAATCTTGCTCATAGTAGACAGAGTCTCTTGTCTCTGCTCCTGTTTTTTCCTTTTGCCTACAGCAAAGACAGACTTTGCTGAAGATTGGGCCAACCGACCAACAAAGATGACTGAAGTCTCTGAAACATTAGAACAAGAGTGTGGGCTAAAGAAGACATTATTATAAACAAGTCTAATACTGCAAAACTCAGTTCATGGAGGTTTGGAACACCAAGTGTAATCGTCCAGGGTTGCTACTGTTGTAGCCTATGCTCTGTGGCACAATATGGCATACTTTTCACTTGGAGATTATTTCCTACACAGGACAGCTACCCTTCCTCTGAGCTTCTGTCTGTGATGTAATGCTGCAGTTGTGGTCCTTAAAGAGCTTTTAAAACAATTTTCTTTTTGATCAATTGGCTTGAATATGGAAGCCTGGAACTACGTCCTCAAAGGGGAGCAGGACAGCAAAGTGTTTGTGGGGCCCATCACTGGCTTAGGAGGCTTGAAGTAACCCCTCATCTTTTTGGTGGTGCTGGCAGGGAATAGTTTTAACCTTGATGTAATAGCCATCCCAAAATATCTCTTCTGAATAGCCTTACAAAAGCTGCCAGGCAAATCTTTCATAGCTTTAAGTATTACTGGTACTTTCCAGATAACGTAATTCTGCTTTTTCTGGGCCATTCCTAAAATATTACAGACATACTGCATGACTGTAGAGGCAGCAGCACAACAAAACATTTGCCAACTCTGACTTTCTCCCTGCCACCGAGTTCCTGGGCCTTCTTGCCTCTCACCTCCACAAAACACACTGATACAGTAGATGAGGCTGTGGAAATGAGCTAAGACTCTGCTGTCCCGCTCATAGAATAAAAAAGCCAAATCTCTCCTTCAAACAGTCAGACTTTGATTTATGTCTCCAAAAGGCAGCAAAGCCCAATTTGTGCTTCTGCAGACCAAGACCAGGAACTAATCTTGATGTCCTAAAGAAATCATGATGGGTACATTGCCAGCGGATCCCTTTTTAGTGAGCTAGGAAGGGCTTTATGACAACTTCTGACTGAAGCTGTCTGTTAAATATCCAGACTGCAATCCTTTTAAACTTCTATAGAGCCAAATCAGCATCCTATTCCTACTTAAGAGATGGACAGCACAGGTTTGCCTGTGAAGCAGGTGCACAGTAAGATCTGGACAGCAGTTGAAAAGATGTGATGATAGATGTTGGAGCTAAATAGATTCTTTAAAAATAAGTATTACTAGTGACTCAGGATTAAATTCTGCAGTTCTCGCTTACACAAACCTGCTGAGCTTTCAGACTTATTGCACACTGCAGCACACAGATGTTGACTAAATCCAAGTGAAACTGGAGGCTTCAAGCCTAGCTCTTTCACACCCAAACTCATTCTATAAATGGAAAAAAAGGGGAGAAGAGAGAAAAGAAATCAGAAAAATAAAAAATCCTACAATGCTAAATATATAAGCCCTGCTACAGATAAACTTGCAAAAAATATGAAATGTATGTTTTTTGCAGTCCAAGGCAAAAACCCCCCACTGACTCCAATGACATAGAAATCTACCTTATGGTCACCATCTGACATTTCAGCTATGGTTTCAATGTCATCAAGAGTCTGTTGACTAATTTAGGCACAGAGCTACTTTGATTTGCATTAGATTTTTTGATTTGCACACACAATAGTTAAGGAAACAGACTTTGTATTACCCTTTGTATCTGTACAGTTAAGCTCATACAAGCCTAGGTTTGTTAAAAACTATATGGTTTAGAGGTGGGCTTGGCAGTGCTGGGTTAACCGCTGGACTCAATCTTCGAGGTCTTTTCCAACCTTAATGATTCTAGAATTCTAAGTCAATAAAGACTCTTCCATCTAATTTTTTTAATAAGGTCAAGTTACTTATAATATTAGTCTGCAAAAAATGATTTCTGAATACTTAATTCCTCTTGCAAAACAAATTGATTCATTGTAATATTGCTTGAGTTACTCATTAGTCATTCATTTGAAATTACTTTAAATACATTTTTATGTTCCTTCTAGAGAAACACCACATTTTTCACAACTGGAAGAGAAGCAAGGAGACTATTCAGTGGGATACCACTAAT